CCAAAAAAGACTTGAAAAGCTTAAAGTGCTACTAAACCCAGGTCCCTGCATTTACTCTATCTGTTCTCCCACAATACACACTACATGGAAATGCAATTATTTTAGTAAATATAAACTGCTAAATACCTTTTCTCATCAGCAGTATGTAGCAGTCTTGTGACATCTATCAGTGTTCAGCAGAGTATTGGCTAAAGCTTGTAGGAGGGTTTTTTTTCTGCTCTAGGAGGATGCAGAACCCCTGATCTCTGTCTGGACAGTGCTGATTGGCCCTGTGCTGATCACATGCACTCTCCCAAAAAAAAACCAAAAAAACCTCTCTAGCAATACACACCAAACTGAGCATGTGCAAATTGTCTCCACTTGATATGTCTTATCAGGAGATAAGAGGGGGGCACTGGAGGAAGGGGAGCATCAGAGAAGTCAGGATCAAACAACCATTTTACACAATGCAGAGGATTAACCCCTTAGGTTGCACAGTGAGTCTATCAAGCATGCTTTACATATACAGACTGATTTTACGGTTGTGGATTTAGTAACACTTTAATGAAAATAAATTACCAGGACCAGATGGATTACACCTGAGAGTCCTTAAAGAACTCAGTCAGGTTATAGCCAGGCCGTTATTCCTGCTTTTTATGGACTGCATACTAACAGGAATGGTACCAGCTGACTGGCAAAGGGCCAACATGATACCAATATTTAAAAAAGGGTAGAGATGCATTCCTGGAAACTACATGCCAGTCAGTCTAAATCGATAGTATGTCAACCATTGGAGGGGATGATAGAGGACTATAGCCCATATTTTGCTGATGAAAACAGAATCATTAGTAGTAATCAGCATGACTTTATGAAAGGGTATTCTTGCCAAACCAACCTGTTAACATTCTATGGGAAAGTGAGCTGCCATCTAGATAAATGAGGGCTTGTGGATGTAGCATAAGTGGATTTTGCAAAAGCATTCAATATAGTCCCCCGTAAATGCCTATTTTACAAACTGAGGTCTGTAGGCATGGACCATAGAGTTTGTACATGAATAGAAAATTGGTTACAGGGGCGCGTCCAAAGGGTGGTGATTAACAGCATGTATTCAGACTGGTCTAGAGTGGTAAGTGGGGTACCCCAAGGCTCGGTCCTGAGACCAATTATTTTTAATTTCTTCATACATGATATAGAGGTTGGTATAAATAGTTTAATCTCAGTTCAATCTCAGTGTTTTCTGATGACACAAAGCTAAGTAGGGCAATAACTTCACAAGAGGATATAGAAACTTTACAAGAAGACCTCAATAAAATAAAGGAGTGGGCAAATACATGGCAAATGAGGTTTAATGTTGAAAAATGTAAAGTAATGCACTTGGGGGGAAAAAAAAAAATATGCATTCAAGTTACAGGGTGAACTTTGGGGGTATCCAGGATACAAAAAGATCTGGGGGTCCTAGTAGGTGACAAACTCAGCAATGGCATGCAATGCCAAGCTGCAGCAAGCAAAGCTAGCAGAATTTTAGTATACATAAAAAAAGGTATTTACTACATTGATAAAACAATAATCCTGCCACATTATAAAACTCTGATTTGGCCACATCTGGAGTACGCTGTCCAGCTCAGGAAGGATGTGCTGGACCTTCGTTAACCACTTGCCCTCCTGAGGATTCCCCCCCCCCCCCCCCCCCCTTCCTGACCAGGCCAATTTTTGCGTTATGGCGCTGCGTTACTTCAACTGACAATTGCGCGGTCATGCCACGCTGCACCCAAATGAAATGTATGCCCACTAATTGAGATTTCTTTCGGTGGTATTTGATTGCCTGTGCTTTTTTTTTCTATTTTTTGCGCTATAAAAAAAAAAAGCGCCAATTTTGAGAAAAAAAACTATATTTTTTACTTTTTGTCATTAAACATGTTTAGTAAAAAAATTTAAAAAATCTAATTTTGTCATAAATTTATGCCAAAATGTATTCTGCTACATGTCTTTGCTAAAAAAAAATCCCAATACGTGTAAATTAATTGATTAATGTGAAAGTTATAGCGTTTACAAATGTCAGTATATATACTGGAATTTTTTTTTTTTACTAGTAATGATGGCGATCAGCAACTTATAGCGGGACTGGGGGGGATGGACTTGGTGTCACTGAGATCCCCAGTGACACGAATATACTGGGCAGGAAGGGGTTAACATGAGGGGTGATCAAAGGGTTAACTGTGTGCTGGGAGTGTTTTACTGGGGGGTGGTGTCTTGGTGCTTCACTGTAAGCACACTGCTCTGGATGGCTGTGCTGTGCACAGCCATTCAGAGCAGTGTGTCCGAGCCGACAGAGAGGAGGACTGTTAGTAAACAAAGCAGTCCTCCTCCCCGTCGGAGAGCCTCGGTAAGCACCAGCAGGCAATCACCAGCCGGAACCCGGTGACTGACAGCCGCGGCTGCGAATGGTGGCGCCCCCTACCCGGGAATATAAAATCACGTATATATATGTGATTGTACACACCCCTGCTGCCCTGTAGCAGTATATCTGCTATAGGGCGGTCGGGATGTTGTTAATAAGGGGACTAGAGGTCCTCAGTTACGAGGAAAGACTACAAACATTAAACCTATTCACCCTGGAGAAGAGACGTTTGAGAGGAGATATGCTAGCAATATACACATACCTCAATGGTGATTCTAGAATAAAGAATACACTATTCAGTCTCAGGGAGTATAAGAAGACAAGAGGCCACTCAATGAAATTGGAAGAGAAGCAGTTTAACTTTAAGCTGCGTAAGGGTTTTTTCACTGTCAGAGCGGTAAGGATATGGAACTTGCTTACTCAATCGGTGGTGTCAGCGGGAAGTATTGATAATTTCAAACAACTCTTGGATGGGCATATTAGCGAACACAATATGCAGGGATATGGGATATGATCTTTGACATGAGCATGCACACACCCACATAGGTTAAACTGGATAGACTGCTGTCTTTATTCAACCTTACCAACTATGTATGTAACTATCACAAAGAAAAAAAAATACATAGGAATCTGGGCACTGTGATGGTCAATGACATGCAAATGCTAAAAAGAAAATAAATATATATACCATGCAGTTGGAGGAGGGCCCCATTCATGAGGCTTAGAGGGTTGACAATAAAAAATACACAAATACTTTAAATAACATGCTTGGTGGATGCTGTAAAATATACTGTATTTACCTTAAAATGTATGAAAACCCTGCTAAACATTTGTTGTTTGTTCCCATTCACACAGCATACCTAAAATAATTTAACCACTTGGCAATCGAGCTATAGCCGAATGATGGCTACAGCGCAGTTGTCCAGTTCTGGGAGGGTGTCATATAACGTCCTCCCAGAAGGCGCCCTCCCAGCGGCGTGCATCCAGCAACCTTCGTGATTGCTGTGTCCTACAGACATAGCTGATCTCGTGATGTGGTAAAAGGCCAATCACAGTGGCCTTTTACCATGTGATCAGCTGTGTCCAATGACACAGCAGATCACCGGGTGAATACAGTTGCCGGTTATCGGCTGCACTTTCCTCATGTTGTCACAGTGCGAGGAAAGTACTGCTGATAACCGGCAATTGTCAGAGAACAGATCAGCACTGATGATCAGTGTCCAGCAGTGCTGCCCAGCAGTGCCACCCCCAGTGCCCAGCACTTCCCAGAAGTGCTACCCACCAGTGCCCCCCATCAGTGCCACCCATCCATGTTGCCCAGCAGTGCCATCCATCAGTGCCCAGAAGTGCCACCAGTCAGTGCTGCCAGTCAGCACCACCCACCAGTGTCACCCATCAGTGCTGCCCATCAGTGCCGTCTATCAGTGCCCACCATTGCTACATATCGGTGCAGCATCACCAGTTCAGCCTATCAGTTCCCATCAGTGCTGCCTATCCATGCCACCTCATCAGTGCCCATCAGTGCTGCCTATCAGTGCCCATCAGTACTGCCTATCAGTGCAGCCTAATAAACGCACATCAGTGAAGGAGAAAAATTACCTATTTGCAAAATTTTATAATAGAAACAAAGAAAATAAAACACCTAGCTGCAATTAAATACCACCAAAAGAAAGCTCTATTTGTGAGAAAAAAAATTATAAAAATTTCATATGGGTACAATGTTGCATGACCGCGCAATTGTCATTTAAAATGTGACAGCGCTGAAAGGTGAAAATTGGCCTGGGCACAAAGGGGGTAATAGTGACAAGTGGTTAAAAACAATGATTGCTTACATTTTAGGTTTTACATTTTAGGTTTTTAAGGAAAAGGTCTCATGACTGACTGTACACATTTCTGAATAATTTCAGATTCAGTCAAAAAAAATTAACTATATATATATATATATATATATATAAAATGTGCTATGTACTATAAAGTGCAATCATGCAATAAATAACTCCTTAAGCTATATAACTTAAACACCACTATATAATTCCTATTTGCAAATAGATCTGAAAAATATACCGTAATCAAAAATACAGAAATGTTGAAAAAAGTGCAAAAGTGCAATAAATAATCAAAACATACAATTCACATATTCTCGCCTACAAATAAATGTGTAAAAATATTCAACAAACAAGTGTGTGAAATATTAAACAAAGTGCTCTGTGCAATAAATATTCAAATCATACAATTCATATTTAAAATAAAATCCACTGTGATGAATGTATTACGTGATACAACATATAAACGAATGTCCACCATACATAGCAAATGTCTTCTTATCATGCACCACCAAAACAAAAGGGTATTATGTTTTTTCCACCACCAGATAAATTAGATGAACTCACTAGAGCTCCAGTCTGGTAAAATTATAGACCAGCTATAAATGTGTGAACTCTGGTAATAGGAACCTGTAGCAAAAACCACTTCTCCTCTCAGGCACCCTTCTCAGGAACTCACAGACTATATTGATAACCTGATATTATTTTGAATCTATACCCCTCCAAATCATTGGATTCATGTGTTCCAATCAGCTCCATGGTGATGGAACACCATGGTGTATAAAATCAAGCACCTAGGCATGCAGACTGCTTCTACAAACATTTGTGAAAGAATGGGTCACTCACAGGAGCTCAGTGAAATCAAGCGTGGTACCGTGATAGGTTGCCACCTGTGCAATAAGTCCATCCGTGAAATTTCCTTGATACTAAATATTCACGGTCAATTGTTAATGGTATTATTACAAAGTGGAAGCAACTGGGAACAACAGCAACTCAGCCACGAAGTGATAGGCCACGTAAAATGACAGAGCGGGGGTCAGCGCATGCTGAAGCACACAGTGTGCACAAGTCGCCAACTCTCTGCAGAGTCAATAGCTAAAGACCTCCAAACTTCCTGTGACCTTCAGATTAGCTCAACAACAGTTCATAGAGAGCTTCATGGAATGGGTTTCCATGGCCAAGCAGCTGCATCCAAGCCTTACATCACCAAGTGCAATGGAAAGTGTCAGATGCAATGGTGTAAAGCATGCTGTCACTGGACTCTAGAGCAGTAGAGACATGTTCTCTGGAGTGACCAATCATGCTTCTCTGTCTGGCAATCCGATGGACATGTCTGGGTTTGGTGGTTGCCAGGAGAACGGTACTTGCCTGACTGCATTGTGCCAAGTGTAAAGTTTGGTGGAGGGAGGGGGATTAAGGTGTGGGGTTGTTTTTTTCAGGGGTTGGGCTTGGGCCCTTAGCTCCAGTGAAGGGAATTCTTAAGGTGTCAGCATACCAAGACATTTTGCACAATTTCATGCTCCCAACTTTGTGGGAACAGGGGGGGGGGGGGGTGAGGGGGGGGGGGGGGGGGGGGTGTTGTTTGGGAATGGCCCTTTCCTGTTCCAACATGACTAGTCACCAGTGCACAAAGCAAGGTCCATAAAGACATGGCTGAGTGAGTATGGGGTGGAAGAACTTGACTGGCCTGCACAGAGTCCTGACCTCATCCTGATAGAACACCTTTGGATGAATTAGAGCAGAGACTGCGAGCCAGGTCCTCTCGTCCAACGTCAGTGCCTGACCTCACTTATGCGCTTCTGGAAGAATGGTCAAACATTCCCAATTCCCATAGACACAACCTTATGAACAGCCTTCCCAGAAGAGTTGAAACTGGTATAGCTGCAAAGGGTGAGCCAACTCAATACTGAACCCTACGGACTAAGACTGGGATGCCATTAAAATTCATGTGCGTGTAAAGGCAGGCGGCCTGACACTTTTGCAATATAGTGTATGTTTTTTTTTAAACAGTTTGCAGGAATAGTGTTCTTTTTTTAAAATGCCTCTTTATGTACTGAGATGAATTGAAATGAGATGCCCCATGAACATGAGGACAAGATGCTTTGGGGGGAGCCCCCCTACCCCAAAGCACCCCCCCCATGTTGAGGGCATGTGGCCTGGTATGGTTCAGGAGGGGGGGGGGGGGAGGATAAGGGTTATGATATGGATCAAAAGGGGAACCCCATACCATTGTTTTTTTTTTATTTATCATTTTTTTATTTTTCATTGCCAGCAATTCTTTTTTTTTTTTTACAGCTGATGAGTCATCGGCCCTCTCCCGGCCCTCTCCTTAACAACCAGCTATTCTTCACACAGAATTCGGATCAGTTGATACATTTTTGACTGATTCGAATTTGGATCATTCTGAAAATTTGGAATTCATTAGAAAATGAATAAACAGAATTAAACTAAACAAATTCCAAAACCAATTTATGAAACAAAATTAGTAACTTAACGAATTTATCCAAAACGAAACACATTTTTTTTATTCTCCACATGTCTATACCCTAATAAATTACCTGCATTAAAGTAAAAAATCTGCCACCACTCCCTCCCTAAATACTTACCTGAGCCCTGTGTCAATCTAGTGCAGTGTCTGTCTGTCTGCCTGTCTCTCTCCCCTCTCACAGGTTCAGAAACAGGAGCAGGAGCCATTAGCTCTTGCTGCTGTCATTCATATACTGTGAAGAGGGAATGGTGGAATTGCTGAAGCGTGCTGTGTATGTCTATAGATGCACACAGCCCAGCTTGGGAGTAAGCCCACACATCTGCCCACAAAGCAAGTGGTTTGCTATGGGGGCAGACACAGAAGAATAGGAGCCAAGAGTGCTGGCGGGGGACCATAGAAGAGGAGGTTGGGGGATGCTCTGTACAATACCATTGCACAGACCAGGTAAATTTTACATGTTTGATTAAAAAAAAAAAGCCTTTATAGCCAATTTAGTTTTGATAGTTGTGGGGAATACAGTTTTTAAATTATAATGCTTAATTTTTCTTAAGGTGACTGTGTTGCTATTTATTTTCAAGGAAATAAAGCCATCCCTGCAAAACAGGTAATTAATACTTACCTATTTTGCTGCTTGAATAACCATTTCAGGTATCTCCACCCTTCCTCAGAATGAATCTGGCAAAGGGTGGGGTGACCCAAAACGGTCTATCAGTATGTTCCAATGTATACCTTGTACCTGATCTGTGTTGCTATACAAGCAACTATTGCAGCAAAGAAAGAAGGTGTGAAGCATGTCTCAGGACTGTATAATATGATATCAAATCTAGGACACCACATGTCAATCATCCCTCCTAGTGATCTACACTTTAAAGTGCCCTTGCAGACCTTTCTTATAAGAAAAAGATAGGAGGATAGAGTGCCAAATAGAGTGCCTCGATCAGAGAGAACATGACACAGTTACCTGTAGTGAGTGGAATGTGCTCATTCAGTAGCATAGTTAAAATTTAGAGTGATAGACTGCATCCCTGAAAGAAAGACAGGATGGGATTGTGAATTACTTTGAGTAAAATGGAGGTGCAGTGGATCCTCTGTTTAGACAATTTATCTAGGGGGTTTAAACCTAGATGCACATTTATTCTTTTGACTTACTTTGTTAATGTGCATTTTTTTTATTCTGTTTGATATGTTTGCTTTTATTTCACATTCATTTGGTGGTTTTATCCCTTTTGTTTAGGTTCCTGAAGAACCTTCTAATCATATAATTGTACATGCCACTATGTATCTTTGAGGAATCAGAGTAAAAACATCCTTATTTGTTTTCTTTGTTTAGATAATGGTCATTGCAATTAGTTAAAGGGTAATGTCACTTTTGGGGGGAAAAAAAAGCAAACAAAAAAAAAATAATAATATAGTGTATACAATTGCTAGACAGGCCATGTTGTAATTGCATATTATTAAAATGACATTTCCTTTTCAATCTGCAGAGCTGTAATTTTCTGTAAAATGCAATGCAACATGGTTACCTGGAGGCATTCTGCATACAGACTGTTTATAGAAAGCCCCCCAGAAATATAATTTCCTGCTTGTGTGATTGACTCACTGATTTCCTAGACATCTACAAATAAAAGTCAGATTTTGGTTATCTCCTGCATCAAAAATATAATTTTGCTGAGCTACTCCCAAAGGGAAATCATGTCTAAAGGGATGCAGACACTGCTACTTTCCTCAGTAGAGCCCTTCAAGTGCAGCAGCTCATTGATAATTATAAAATCATTTCTATACAGATTAACTCTGCACATGGACAAACAAACAACTATTTCTTCATAGTTACATAGTTAGTCTGGCTGTAAAAAGACAAAAGTCCATCCAGTTCAACCATCAAAAAAAAAAAAAAAAAAAAAAAAGTTATAATCCTACACCAACAGTTGTTCCAGAGGAAGGCAAAAAAAAACAGCAAAGCATGATCCAATTTGCTCCTGCAGGGAAAAAATCCCTTCCTGATCCCGAGAGGTAATCGGATATTCCCTGGATCAACTTTACCTATAAATGTTAGTATCCAGTTATATTCTGTGTATCTAAGAAACAATCCAGGCCTTTTTTAAAGCAATCCGAGCTGGCCAGAACCAACTCTTGAGGGAGTCTATTCCACATTTTCACAGCTCTCACTGTGAAGAAACCTTTCCATTTTTGGAGACTAAATTTCTTTTCCTCCAGACGTAAAGAGTGCCCCCTTGTCCTCTGTGATGACCTCAGGGTGAATACCTCTACATTGAGTTCACTATATGAAACATTGATGTATTTATACATGTTGATCATATCCCCCCTTAATCTCCTCTTCTCGAGAGAATAAATTCAGTTCCTTTAATCTTTCCCCATAGCTGAGCTCCTCCATGCCTCTTATCTGTTTGGTTGTCCTTATCAGTTTGGTTGCCCTTCTCTGCACTTTCTCCAGTTCCCCAATGTTCTTTTTGTGAATTGGTTCCCAAAATTTAACTGCATATTCCAGATGAGGTATTACTAATGAATTGTACAGGGGTAAAATTACATCTCTCACTCTCTGGAGTCTATACATCTTTTAACACCTCAGAATAACAAAAGGTAGGACTCTGCAACAAAATTTGTTAAAATCCTTGCAATGTACATAGAACACCCAGAGATGTATGTTTTTTACTCTTTAAATACTTCCCACCCAGGCACTGTACATAAATGGCCAGGTGGGACAAATGCCACCATGGATGTACGCCCTGTCAGAACCTGAGACGACGCAGCTGCAGCAAACTGAGTCAGAAGTGGGAGTGGACACCTGTCAAAACCAGGTACCTCCTCCCCCCAAAAGGTCCCAAATGTGGCAGCGGGAGGAGGACATGAGGAGGAATAGCGGAGTTACCACTGCCAGGTGTAACTCCGCTTTAAAATGTATTTTTTTTTTTTAAAAATTGCATTTGAAAAAAAAAACGCTGCACAAATACCGTGTGACAAAAACAAATTGCAAAATCCACCATTTTATTTTATAGGGCTTCTAAAAAATATATAATGTTTGGTGGTTCTAAGTAATTTTCTAGCTAAAATACTGTACAAGTTATTTTGGAACTATGGTTCAAAAACAGGACTTTATCGTCACAACACGAGGGGACTCAATTTAAATCATAATTTTATTTCCACGTAATTAAAAATGGAGATAAAAAACAGATACAACACCATCAACAACACAGTAGGGTTGATTTGAGGGCTTCACAGAACAGTTGTATTTGTATTGAGATTAAATTATACACAGGTGGACTCTATTTACTAATTAGGTGACTTCTGAAGGCAATTGGTTCCATTAGATTTTAGTTAGGGGTATCAGAGTAAAGGGGGCTGAATACAAATGCACGCCACACTTTTCAGATATTTATTTGTAAAAAATTTGAAAACCATTTATCATTTTCCTTCCACTTTACAATTATGTGCCGCTTTGTGTTGGTCTATCATCTAATCCAATTAAAATACATTTACATTTTAGGTTGTTACATGACAAAATGTGGAAAATTTTAAGGGTATGAATACTTTTCCAAGGCACTGTAAGTGTACTTGTGGTGCACTTGCAGTGCACAGTATATTTACCTTTAGTAAATCAACCCCAATATGTCTGATACTAGCCAACACCCAACCCTGAGATGGAGCCTGGAACTAGGCATTAATATAGAGCATATAACAGAACACAATTTTTCATATCTGTATGACTGTTAAGACATGATATTAGCCTGAGTTCACTGGATCAATACCCACAGCGTCTCC